AAAAAAAAAAGAGGTTGGTTCATAATTGAAAACAAGTAAAAGATTCTTTGGATGTTTTGAACTTTATTCATTTAAACGTTTTCTACTTTATGAGAACCCAATTACAGAAACAGCCATTGAATTCTGATGATTGAAAACAAAAGTATAACTTCTGTATGTTTATTATACTAAAACTTATTTCTATAAATTAAAATTTTATCTAAAATTCTTCATTTTTTTTTTTTTTGATTGTATAGCAAAAATTTAATAATTTTTATGCAATTATCTGGTAGTCAGCAACAATAGCAGTGACAAGATTAAGCACATTGACATTGTTTGATATTAGTCTAAATGTTTCATAGTTTTGTTAAAACAGCAATGAAAATTGGTGTCAGTTAGACTGTTTGTTGCATCTGTACCTTGTTTAGGGACATATTCTTTTGTTCTTATGGATAGAAATTAGACTAAACTCTACTCTTGATGTTGTTGGCGTCTCTTGATGTTAGTACATGTGTATATGTTTGTGCAATTCAGCATTTATTTTTCTGTGTGTGTGTGTGTGTTTATGCATTTATAAATATGTAAGTTTGTTTCTATGTGCAACAAGAGTAATCTGATGAGTAAAAAAGAAACTTAAAAAGATCAATCCAATAGCAATTTTTTTTTTTTTTTTTTTTGTTCAGATTGGCAGATTCAATTAGCACCCCACCGGTTACATAGCTGTATAAGTATCATTGCATTGCCGATATATAATGACTGAACCGTAGCTAAATATCTGTTGGAACGGAATTGCACTGGTTCTGTTGCGATGTTTCATTTGTTGGCTAAAATTGTTGCAAAAATGTTCGCATACCGTAAGTACAAAAAGAACAGAACAGAAAAAAAAAAAAAAGATAAAACGATTTCAGTTTTTCTTTTTTGTCTTTAACATTCATTATACTGTGTCAAATTTGTTTGAGATAAAATTTTTCTTTCTGATTTTTTCTCCTCTGTTCCCCTGTAATAGATTCACTCTGACAGTTGGATAATTAATTGAGAAAATGAAACTTTGAAATATTTGCAATATGTTTACAAGATATGTAAAATTTTAATTTATGACGTTATTTGATTTGGTTTTCTGGAATGGAAAAAAAATTGAAAAATGATAAGCAGTAAATTTTTCCGTTTTTTGTCGATACTAATGTTGGTTTTGGTTTGCAACTTTGTTATTTTTTCTTTCAGTAAAATTTTAGAATCTTTTTTTTTTTCCCTTCTTATAACATCTGGACGTAAAAACGAGTTTAAGTTATCATTAATATTTGTCCACTTAGTATTGATACAAAAGATTTTAGTTAGTGAAAAATTTCTCTTTCAGTTTCTCAAATTTCTTCGACTTCTCTTTGCTGGTCAGTTACCTGCTTATATTCAAAGACTGAAAAAAAAAAAGATAGATTTTGGTTGTCTTTCAGTATTTCTGCTGTATCTCTCGTTTTTGTTAAATTTGAAAACCGTTTACTGGCTTGCAATATTTGATTTTTTTCATCCACTGTCGTACTTAACAACACAGAATCTAATGACAAAAACAAATTTACAACTTTTAATACAATTCTATAAGTGATTTCTTACACACCGCAATTATACTGTTACCTAAACCTTAGGTTTGGCCTCAACAGACAATGATAATTATTTGTTAAATGCGAACTGAAAAGTCTCAAGTTACATTGCGGTATTTATAGGGAACTGGTTTTAATGCAGAAAAACAAAACAAAAAAAAAAAATCAATTTTTCGTCAAATCTATGTTAGTTTAAATTTTGCTGCTTTTTTGCCAACAAAAAGTCACTGTTACGTGCAAAGTGATCTCAGATCTCGTTTACCTTGGGATTTCCCTACCATCTTACTAGCCAGTTTGAAGAATATAAAGTTTTTGCTTACTTCTGCTGCCCAGTACTCTTCTTCAAACATTTCCACTATCGATTTTGAAATGCTAATATATTTGTTGTTTTTTTTTTGACTGAACTTCTCCCTCAAAACAGTAAGTATGATAAACATATGAATTCTTCCTGTTCCTACTTTTCTGTCTAATATAGAAGATACAAGTCATTGTAAATGTATTGAAAGCCCGTAATCAACATTTGCTATGCTGGGATTTCTTTGAAAATAATTTCTTTTAATAATACATGCTGAAAAAAATTTTCGGTTCACGTGTGGCAAATATTTTTGTTATCTTCTGTAAAAATACGTGTTTTTCCTTTTGTAAACAAAGTGGTAAAGGTACTTCGTAGGAGAGATTAAACCACTTATTGTTTGCCAGTTTCTCACCAGTATAATTTCATCTTTCTAAATGCAAATACTTTGAATTTTACAAGAAAATATTGTAATCTCAGGTCCCTCAAAAGACAGTTGAATTTTAAAACTCCAAAGTATGAAAGTTGTCTAAATATCAGGTCATTTATGTTCAGCAGGTTCCTTTTCAAATCTAAGCTAAAAAGACTTATATGCACTATTTGAGCTTAAAAATTACACGTTTTTCTTGCCGGCTTCCTCTTAATTTTTTTCAACACAGATGAATCATACTAGTCTTTTCCGAATTTAGAAAATTTGAACAATGATTACATTTCCACTTTTTAACAATTTCAATAACCAGCAAGAGTTAAAAATTAAATTTATCTATGGTATTATAAACAAAAAAAAAAAACGTTTGCAATTTACACCTAAAAAATTTAGATACATCTCAAGACTGAATGTTAAGCAAAACTGAGCAAGTTTAAGAACAACCTCAGAAATTTTCTTCTAGTTTTCATTCCCAAGACGAGAATGACTGTAGATGCCCCTTGTGTTATGCAGTCATTTAATCGATGGCAAATAGTAACGACTCCATTATATCGACTTTACTATCACCTAAAAACAACTGAATTTCTCACGTAAACTCAAAGGTTTTAATAATTAGCAAAAAAAAAAGGATAAAACAGAAAAAAAAAGAGAAAAAACAGAAAAGAACTGTCGGTCCAGACAAGTTTTTAAGCTATAGGTTTCTTCAAAGTATAGTTGCTGCAACATACCTCCCAAAAAATATTCATTACTATCTTTCTTATTTATTTTTTACTTAATCATTTCATCGTTCTATTTATACCTGTAAAAACAGAATGAGAATTAATACCCTACTTGCTAGTTATGTTGCTTTAAGCTGCTTAAATACTAGTGTAAATCCACTAAATTTGCTAGTGAAAACCACTACCTAAAAACAGCGGTTTTCTGTAAATCAGCAAATCCCAACCGTTTAGTATGGGAGTTTTTGTGTCGATTTACATGCATTTTTCAATTATGTAAAAATTTGGCTATGCGAGCGACTTGTTTTCCCAAATAGTACAGTACGTTTCTGGTCGTCATCATTATTGTTACAAAACGAAATGTTTTCAGCGCGGGGACATTCACTGACTGTAATCACAGCCTAACGGATCAGCAGGGGAGGATAAAAAGAGAGCAAATTGTTGCCTAGAATTTCCCCCCGGCTAAGCTTCTAAGCAGAAATGGCACAATTAAAGAGGGCACACACGATAGTGACCATCGACGATCCACAACTTTGTGGAAAACGATTTTTGTTGCCTCTGGTTGACCAGAATAACAACCTTAATAAAAAGTCTGTCCTATAGCAAAAAAATACATTTATTAGTCCTTTTGTCCCAATGAACTCATTGTGCATTCATTCAGTGCTGTCAATTAGAACTTTATGTACAGAATCTTATTGAATGAAATTACAGTGCTAACAGTATGTAAATATGCATTCTGTTTTCGTACTGACCCTTCGAATATATGCTCATAAGAA